ATGAGCTAGAACAGAGTGGGTGAGGTTAGAGGCTGTAGGGGTAAAGGGTAGCCAAGGGGTCCTGATTTAGGGGGTGGGAAAAAAGGCGTAAGGAAGAGTGGCCAGAGTCTGGAGCCAGTCCTGGAAGACTTGTTGCTCGGACTGATGGGGAGGTTTCGTGCTCCCTTCTCTCTCTGGGGAAACAGAGGCATCACCTTCACAGGAAGGGTTCCTTGGGAAAGGCCTGGGTGCCCCCACGCTGGAAGTTATTGGCAGCAGGTAGAGGAGGAGTGAGGGACACTGCACACAACCACATGTGCCTGACACATCTCTGCTCTCGGGGCAGAAGGCTGGAGTGCAGACTCGGCATATGGGAGACCCAGGGTCCAGATCCAGCACCGGCTGGAGCAGCCCCCAGGTATCTGATCACTGCAGGGTATGGCAAAAACAAAACCAAAGGGACTGGATCGATAGTACAGTGGGAAGGGCATTTGCCTTGCATGCAGCCTACCTGGGTTCAATCTCTGGCATCCCATACAGTCCCCCGAGCACTGCCAGGAGTGATTCTTGAGTGCAGAGCCAGGAGGAACCCCTGGGCCTCACTGGGTGTGACCCAAAAATTTTAAAAAACTCCTTCTGCTACCTCTCTTTCTGGGGGGAGGGGAGGATGAAGGAGGCCTAGACCCCTCTCAGCACCAGGACCCCTGGGACTCCCATCTCCGTCTGCTCATTGCCCTTCCCTGGGTCCACCCCTTCCTCCATCCTGAGATGTGGTCAAGGCTCTGGGCCTCACACCCGTGGTCACATTGTGTTAGACCCAGTTGTGTGTGGGGTTGCTCCAGGTCCCTTGCTCAGGGGCCATCCGTGGCGGTGCTAAAGATTGAATGTGGCAAAGCACAGGCTCACCATTTAGCTCTCTCTCCGTGCTCCCTGGTTCTGCTTTAACCAAAAGAGGTTAGCATGGCCAGGCCCAAATTGGGGCAAAAACTGCTCCCCTCCTTCTCCCTTTTGTGCCACAAAGGCAGCAGTGGGGCATTCCTTGCAGGAGCCAGGGAGTCTGGGGCTCCGATACTTGGCACATAGTAAGTGCTCAGGAAATCATGTCAAATGAATGAAAAAAAAAAAAGTCAGAGAAACCCTGAAACACAACCTGGCGAAGATGCTGATGTCTTTTTTCCACTTCTTCCCTCGGCCCAAATCAAGACTCTAACAGATCTCATTCCCCCCCTTTTTTTGTGACCCCCCCCAACAAAAACAGGGTATATGATGGGATCCAAGTGATGGATGGGGGGAATTAAGTGCCCACTTGGCTCGAAGCAGGGTCATTATTGGCAAATTTCCCAGTCTCTGCCAGCCTCTTCTTCCCCAGTTCCCAGAAATGGTACCTTTTTGCCATTTCTACCATCCCTTTTTTGGAGGGAGAGGAGGTGTTTGGGCCACACCCAGCTATGCTCAGGGGTTACTCCTCCTGGCTCTATGCTCAGTATTACTCCTGGGGTGCTCAGGGGACCATATAAACTCTCCATCTGTTACGCTATCGCTCCGGCCCCTCTACCATCCTTTCTAAACAGGGGAAATGCACAGAAAATAGGTTCTCTTAGCCTGTGGTACCTTGCTTCCCATTGCTCCCTCCCCAGAACTCCTTAGTAAGTGGCGCCGTATCTGCCAAGTCAGGGATGACTACTAGACACCACTTTGCTTGCTGACGACCCCCACCCCCACCCCAAAGAGAAGAGGAGAACGACAGTGGCGGTGGCGGGGCCACCGAGCTCTTTGCTAGGCTGGCTGGCAGAGAGATGTACCCACACAACCCGGGGCTTCTTGGCAGACATAGAAGATGCTGTAGGATCTTGGCTTCCGGGCTTTGGGGGGTTGGCGGGAGGGGGAGACGTGCATCAGAAGGCTGTCTGGACCCCCTGGTTTCCAGGGCTAGGACCCTGGAGAAATATTGGGGTGCTTCCTAGCAACCATCTGGGAAGCGAGGAGGAAGAAAAGGGAGAGGGAGGGGCTTGGGCTCAGCTCTGCTGAGGGGAGCCCAGAGAACAAGCTGTCCCTGCTGCCTCCTTGGCAACCACAGTGGAGGAGGGAGGGGACATCAGATGTGTCCGCTAGCTCGCTCAGAGGGTCTCGCTCCAGCCTCACTGGCCCCACCCTCCCGCTGTCCCCGGGGACTCAGCGCTGAAGCGGAGGCGGCAAGGGGGATGGGAGGAAACAGCCAAGTGGGTTTCATAGCAAGGAGAGATCGGGAGCTGGGGACAAAATGGCTGATGGAGGGGGCGAAGGTCGGCCGGGTACATGGGCAAAGGGGGTATAGCACCAGGGGTGCCCCACGTGGGCTGGGTCCTGGCAGTGACAGGCTTCCCGTGCCATTCACCGTGTCCTTGTCCAAGGCTGTTCCCAGCTCTAATGGGAGTGAAAGAAATGACAGCGGTGGGAGCCGGAAGGAGAAGCTGAAAATAAGTGTGGGCTCTGGGTTCAAGGTGCCCTGACTCAAGAGGCACTTTATTTCCTGTGGCTCTGGATCTAGGATTTTTTTTCTCTTTTTTTTTTTCTTTTTTTTTAAGGGAGCAGGGGTTGGAGTTGCACCTGGCAGGATTCAGGACTTCTTCCTGGCTCTGTACTCAGTCATCACTGTTGGCAGTGCTGGGGGATCATATATGTTACTGGGGATTGAACAGGAGTTGACTGCACAGAAGGGTGCAAGGTGAGCGCCTAAGCCCCTATGTAGGCCTGTGAGTCTAGAATTCTTTCTGGAGAGCAGGGGTACACCCAGCTGTTCTCCGGGCTTACTCCTGGCTCTGTACTCAGGAAGCACTCCTGGTGAATTCAGGGGACCATACAGGATTGAACCTGGGTTGGCTGCATGCAAAGCAAGCACCCTCCCCATTGTATGATTGCTCCAGCTGAGTCCAGGACCATTCATCTCCCTTCTCCAGTACCTAGGGGGCATTTTATTAAGGAGAGGGGGTGGGGAGAGCCAGCAAGGAGAGGAGACAAGCACTCATCTTTCCCCTTGGCCTTTGACCCCCTGCCTGAATCCAGGCTGGTCCTCTCCATCACCCCTGATCACACCCAGAATACAGGCAGCACCTGTCTAAATGCAGGCCGGGTCTGGATTCCCTCCCGATGCCTTGAGCAGCACAATCCCAGGGGACTCTTTCCTTCCCGAGTGCAGAGCCAGCGCCCGCCCTGAGCCCCGCACCGCACCCACCGCAGCCCGGCTCCCTGGAGCTGCAGCCAAATCCAGTCACGGGGAGGTGGCACCCGCTGGCAGCCAGCCACCCTTGGTGCACCTCGCATTCACTGCCCGCTGCCCGCTGCCCAGACTCTGCAGGAAGAAGCTCCAGTCCACACTGCAGCTGTTGCATGTCCAGTGGGAGCCCAAGCTGAACCCACGTGTTCACTGCCCGCTGTGGCCTCCGTGCCCACTGCAGTGGCCACTGCTCGCTCCTTTCCCCTGTGCCCACCCTCTGCTCTGCATCCCCTGGGGTTCATCCCGGCTGCACTTCTCAGCCCTGTGATTGCAGAGGGCCTCTCCCTCCCCTCCAGGCGCTGAAAACCCTAATAGCCCTGGAAGAGAAGAGGGCCCAATAAACCTGAGGATGAAGCCCCCGTACACCCACACAGACACATCAGACACATTCACACACAGACAGAGACACACTCAGACATACACAGAGGCTCAGACACATTCATACACACAGGCACATGCAGAGACACAGACACTGGCGCTCACACTCAAACACACATACATGCACACACTCAGACACAGACAGTCACACTCAGACACAGACACTCGACACACAGACACTCGGACACACACACTCAGACACAACACAGACACTCAGACACAAATTAAGACACACACACTCAGACACACGCAGACACTTGGACACAGACACAAGACACTCGGACATATACACACAGACACGCGGAAACACACAGACACTCAGACACACACTCAGACACACAGACACTCGGACATATATACACACAGACACGCAGACACACACTGGGACACATTTGCACACTCTCCCCTGCCCAAGAGACAGCTCTGGAGAGGCCCCGCCCTGGGAGCCGTGGGAAGGCAGTGGCCCCCGCTGGTAAAACTGGGCTAATGACAGCGGGGGAACCGGCGGGGCCAGGGGGGGTGCTGGGGTAATTAGAGCTCAGCCGGGCGCTGGGAGATCCCGAGATGAAAGGGGCTCCGGCGTCACTGGGACGGTTTTATGTCCATGAATGCGGGTGCCTGTGTGTGCAGGGGGTGGGGGGTGTTCTGGGGGGAACCTTTCGTTCGGGAAGCGGATTCAGGTTTATGCAGCCCGCTCCCCTCCCTCGACGCCCCCCCCCCCGCCCCGGGACTATTGGGACGTGGGCCGAAATACCCCTTGTGCCGAGCTGAGCAGGTGCGTGCAGCCTCGCCCCCTCCCCAGGACGCGCCAGTGGAGGAAATGGCTGGTGCTGATGAATAGAGCCGGCATTGGAGGAGGTGACATTTGAAATGCGAGGGAAGGGAAGCGATGGGGAGTACAGAAAACACAGGCTGGGAGAAGCTGACGGGAACTCGGGCTTCACCTGCCCAGCCCTGCGATTTTACGGTGCAGGACGCTCTGCCCCTGCGTGCGGCACCGTGATTCGCCCAAGGTCACCCGGAGTGGCGCGCAGAGACGGGACCCGAACCCAGAAACACTCTCCGCCTCCTCGGGCTTCGGATCTGGACTTCCTCCCCGCTCGAGAAGGTGCGGGCGGCTCGTCGACGATCCACCCCTGCTGCATCCCCCTGGTGCAAACCGCACCCCCCCCAACAAAAAAGAAAAACCAAAAAAAAAGAAGCCCCCCCCACCCCCCAACCTCCCGTTCCTCCCGCAAGCCAGGGCTGAGCTTCGCACCGGCGTCGTCCCCCGAGATGTCACCCGCGCCCCTCCCCGCGGCGGCGGGCGGGGGGCGCGGCGGGGGCGCGGGCCGGCGGCGGCGGGCCGGCCTGCAGGGAGCAGCCGCGAGCCGGCCGGGCGCGCCGCGCTCCAGCCCCACCGGCGCGGGGCGGGGGAGGGAGGAGCCAGCGCGGCCGCCGCCTCTGCCGGAGGAGCCGCGGGGCCGCCACACTCGCCCCCCGCCCCCCCGCGCTCACTCGCACTCACACCCGGGCGCAGGCGGCGGGCGGCCCGGGCCCCAGCGGCCCCCGATGGACGGCGCCGGCACGGGGCGCTGAGACCCCCGCCTAGCTGCCCTGCCCGGCCCCGCGCGCCACGCCGAGGTAAGGGGGAGGGCGCGAGGGGGCATTAATATGCAAATGCACCGCGATTGATTATGCAAAGCCGCGGGGCTCGCGCTGGCCCGCGCCCAGGCGGGGCCGGGGGCGTCGGGGGCGCGGGGCGGCGGCGCGGGCTGGGGGCTCGGCCGCCGGCCGCGGCGCGCCCCGGCGCCCCGGCGCCCCTGTCACAGCCCCCCGGAGCTTGCAGCGGACGCCCCGGCGCGGGGGGAGCTGTGGCCGCGAGGTCGGTGGGCCCCGGGCCGGGCCGCCGGAGATGGCGTCCGGGCCTCCCCCTCGAGGGCCCGCCCGGCCTCGGTCCGGCCCGTGCGCGGCGCCTTCCCGGGCCGCCGGGCCCCGCCGCCGGCCGCCCGAGCTTCCCCCGCCCGCCGCGCCGCGGTTTGTTTACGGTGCGCGGGAGGCCTGGCCCCCCCAGCCCCCACCCCTAGCCTTCGAGGCCAAGGCCGAGTGGCCTCTGCAAAGCGGCCTGCAGCTGCGGGGGGCAGCAGGAGCGGGGTGGGAGGTGGGCTTGCACGGGCCCGGGGCGAAGGAAGTCCCCCCCCAACACTTCGCCCGCCTCCCCGACTGAGCATGGCTCTCCGGGTTGCAACACTGCTAATTGCAAAAACGCGGTTGGCGGGGTGTGGGGGTGGGGAGTGGGCACGGGGGTGAAGTGCGTTGCGGGGGGATCCCTAGATGATTCCGGGAGCTGCAGGCTGGGGTGGCTGGGGGAGGGAGGAGGAAAAATGGACCCGCGTTGTGGAGCCCTGCTCCTCGTTTCCCTCCCCCCCTTGCAACGTGTCTCTGGGGCCCTCCCCTGTCCAGCGTGAAACGCTGGGGCGAGGGTGCGGGGTAGGGGCCACGGAGACAGCCGCCCCGCGCAGGGCTGGAGGGGGTAGTGGGGGAAGGAAACCAGTGGGGTGAGACCCTCCCCCTCCGTTCTGGATGTTTCTCAAAGATGGGGGGAAGGATGAAAGGGCCGTTGTGGAGGATGGGGGGGGGGTTGCAAATGTGACGACGTTCAGATATGCCCACGCTGCCACATGCACACGCAGGACACACTGGCAGACTCAAGGGCAGGAGCTGCCGGACACACCCACATGGGGACAAGGCTGCGGCTGCATGGGGCACCCGAGGGGCAGGACACACCCACGGAGCCCAGGCGTGCACAGGACCCAGGTGTAGAGGCTGTGACACAGGGCGGGGGGCAGGAGGTGCCCGGTCACCCACACAGGCAGAGTTCCTTGCACGCCTGTGTGCAGGCAGAGCAGTGGCACGCGCACGCACGCACATTACAAAAGACCCTGTCACTCGCGGGCACACACATGCTCCCATGAGTCCCGGGCATCGGCGCCAGCCGTGACAGTCCCCACCACGCAGTCCCCGTGCGGGGGAGGGGGGGCGCGGCTGCTCATCGACATATGTCTGCCCGCGGTGGTAGCAACATGTCTTCCCCTGGCCTCTCCCGAGGAGCTCTGGGCTCTGCACACCCCGCAGCACCCCTGCGCCCGCCCGGGAACCTCAACTTCAGGCGTGGCGATTCCGTGTGCCTGCCCCTCCACGGCCCCCTGTGTCCCGGCATTCTCCCATCCCCCCTGGCTGGGGGAGCTGCTGGACCCAGGAGAAGCCCTCCCTGCCGCCCAGCCCTGCCACACGGGGAACGTTCTGTAATAACATGTGGCTGCAAAGGGGGCGGTGCGCTGCAGACACAGGTGCATGCGTGTGCGCACGCCCAGCCCGGCTCAGGTGGCCGCCGCGGCGGCTGCCCTGCTCTGTCCACATCCTCCAGGTCCCTGCTGCCAGCTGGGGTCCAGACACTCCGGGGAGGGGCGGGGGAGGGCACCCCTGGTTGTACCGACATCCAACATCCTCCCCACCCCCTGCCGCCAGCCTCCTTCTAGCTTTTTCCTCTGGGCTAGAACCTTCTTCTTCTTCTTCTTTTTTTTTTTTTAAATTGTTTGGAGGGACTGAGAAACTAGAGCAGAGAGAATAGGGGCAGGGGGGTTCCAGAGGGCCGAGGAAGGGGCCTGTGGCAGCCTCCAACAGCTTCCAGCAGCTGGGGCTGTCCTGACTGCAGAGAGGAGGAGGGTCAGGGAAGAGCTGCCCCTGGGGAACCCAGGTCTCCTGCTCCCCACCCCAGAAGCAGGCAGGGAGGAGCCGCTTCTGCCGTGGGGCATTAGTTTGCGTCTGTCCTGAGGCCCCGGGGCCCCTTCCTCACCCCCCTCTCCCCCCACTGTGAGCCCGGCCCCCCCCCCTCCACCACCACCTCTGCCCTCCTGTCTAAACTTGGAAGCCCTCCTAGGAGCCGTATGCTGGTGAGTGTCTGGATGAGTGATGTGTATTTTTGACTTGGAATTTCTCTCCGACTCTGTCTCTGTGTTGCTGTCTTGCTGTGTCTGCCTCGGCCTCTCCCGTCCCCTGCCAGTCTGGAACTCTCTCTCACCCCGCGCTGCCCCCGGCCACCCCTGCTCTTGTCTGTTTCTCTTCCAGCCTCCTTTCTCCAAGCTGGGAACTGGCAGGGATGTTCTTCAGACTTTTCCAGTTGTTCCTACTCCAACTCCGCCCCTTGGCCCGCCTGCCCCTGACTCTGGGGTCAGCAAGAGGTTGGGGTGGGGGGCGGGGGATGGGGGGGCGCTCAGGACATCCTGCATTTCCGCCTCCCGGTGGCAGTGGCAGCAGGCAGGTTGGGAGGGGAGCTGCTGCCCGTCCTGACCTCTCAGGCTGGCAGGCACCGCCCCCTCGGGGTCCAGCCTGCAAATAGCTAGCTCCCACCCCAACCCTTTGAGGTGGGGCTCCCCAGCACTCTCACTTGCTGGGAAATCAGTGCCCCCTCCATGGGCTATCACAGGGGTTGGCATGACCTGACTGAGCTAAGTCATCAGCAGGAGGACTCGCCATGGCCTCCCTCCACACCCCTGGCAGCTGAGACCCACCTCAGAGATGCCCAACAGCTGTGCCCCTCTTTGCCCAACCTCACCAGGCATGCTGAGGGTACAGCTGCCCAGAATATGTGCGGGGGGGGGGGCGGGCTGAATGAGGTCCCCCTCCAGGGAGTGCAGGCTCCAGCGTGGGATGTGTGGATGTGTGGCAGACTGGTTCGGGGGGCCACTGGTAGGAAACCCAAAGCCCAGGGTGGTCCTGCCATTTCTGGGCTTGCACCCCTCTAAGCATTACCTCTTGGGAGGGGAGCAGCACCAGCCTTGAGTGAGTTTACCCTGGGAGAATCCATGGGCTGTTACTGGAGGAGAAACTGAGGCTTGGCCACAGGGCACACCAAGCTGTGTGAGACCCTCAGGTATGAGAGAGGGGGCTTCTCTCGAGCCCTCTGCCGAGCAACCTGAAGGTGATTTCACCTGTTTAGCCACGCCCCCCCACCCCGACCCTGTCTACGGATCGGGAACGATGATATCTGCCTCATCTCACAGATGCAGATCTGAGTTGGGTTTGCTTTGGGGACCACACCTGATGGTATTCAGGTGCTGCTCCCTGCAGTGCTCAGGGGACCGACCATATGGTGCCAGGGATCGAACCCATGAACACATATGTGGACAGAGCCCTTAGAGCTATGTCTGGCCCTCATTCAGCTTTTCTAGGATTAAAGAAGTTAGACTATAAAATGCTGTAAAGGAAGTTCTCAGTGCATGAGTGCAGTGTGTATGTGTGTTTCTGTGTGTGTCTGTGTGCATGCCTGTGTTTCTGTTGTGTGTATGTGTGTGTTTCTGTGTATGTGTCTGTGTTTCTCTGTGTGTGTGTTTTTGTGTGCGTGTGTGTCTATATGTGTTTCTCTGTGCATGTCTGTGTCTGTCTGTGTGTGGCCGTTGCCTTAGGAGACCCGTGGGTCTGGGCCCCCTGGATTTTGGTGGGGGTGAGTTTGATGGAGAATGCATCTGCTAGGTCACCCGGGAATGGCACTGGGTGGGGTTCAGTGAGCCCCTCGCTCTGGTCTCCTCACTCTTTATGTCACCCTGCTGCGTTCTGGGTTTGTTTGTTTGCTTGTTTTGGGGCCACACCCAACAATGCCCAGGGGGGTTCCTGGCTCTGCACTCAGGAATTACTCCTGGTGGTGCTCAAAGGACTCTATGGGTGGCCGGGGATGAGGATCAAACCAGTGTGGACCATGTGCAAAGCAAGTGTCCTCCCCTCCGCGTACTGTGGCTCCAGCCCCCTCAGAAGGATTTTTATTTGTTTTTTTTTTTAGACCACACCCAGTGGTGCTCTGGGCTTACTCTTGGCTCCGTGCTCAGGCATAACCTCTGGTGGTCCTGGCGGGGTTGGGGGGAATCCCTGTGGGGACCCTGGGGATCAAATCCAGGTTGGCCACATGCAAGGCAAGTATCCTCCCTGCAGTACTTCCACTCCAACCCTTTCCTCAAGGACTTTTGCAACCTCGAGCCCCTCAGCCCGTCTCCCCTTGGCCCCTCACCCACTTCTCTGGAGGGGCCCGGACATGGAGCTGCCCTCCAGCTCTGAGCTCCACCCCCAGCCTTTACACCAAAGGAACCTGGAACACCTCGCCCCAACCCAGCATGAGTGTTGAGGCCTCACTGCATCCCTGGGGGGCCAGTCAGCACAAGGGGTGCAGTGTACCACCAGGAGATTAGACTCCCATGCCTCCACCCTTCCTTCATGTAGAATTCAGCCCCCTCTTCTCTCCTGGGGACCCAGCGTCCCAGCTGCCCCCTCCCCTCCCCCCCCTTGACAGGCTGCAGGCCTCAGTGGCCTGTGTGGCATCTGTGGAAAGATGGTGGTCCAGAGAAAGGGCCAGTGGTGTGGACCTTGCAGTCACTCAAGATCTGAGCCCTGTCCGAGGTTTCTTTCTTCTGTTGTGAGTCCGATCTTTTTTTTTTTTTTTTGCTTTTTGGGTCACACCCAGCAATGCTCAGGGGTTCCTTCCTCCTGGCCCTGCACTCAGGAATTAACTCCTGGCGGTGCTGGGGGTGGGGGGGGAATATATGAAATGCCAGTGATTGAATCCGGGTCAGCCGCATACAAGGCAAACACCCTGC